ACACAAAGCCCAGTTAAACGTCATCCCTGTCACCAAGGGCTCATCTTCAGGGAGAGAGCGAGGGTACCAAGCACTGACTAGGACCCAAGTCACACAGAGCAGCTTCTGTGCTGTCAGTGCAGCAGAGTCCGTGCGGGAGCAGGTTGAGCCTGGGCAGAGCCTCTCCACTGCACGTCAGTGGGCTTTGCAGCCAGGGCCCTGCGACCCTGTCCCGAGTGGGTCGGGCACCAGCTGTCTAGCAGCAGTGCTCACTGCCCCTGGCTGTGCCTCTGGTAGCTGTCACACTGTCTCACATGTGCTTACCGTGAGGATGTCAGGGAGGGTGGTGACCCGTGACCCACGGCCTCTGACGGTTGTCTGTAACTGCGGGGTGCCCGGAACCCGTGCAGACAACACTGAAGTCGGGGAATGGTGGGGACTCTGACCGCACCATTGACAGGCTGCTCCCCGCCGCTCAACTCCCCTCGGATCTCTGCCCCCCAGACAGAACGGCACTGAAATTAGGCCACTGGCAACCCCTGACCGGCCTCTGCCTGGAGCGGGGGGTCACTCACCTCTCACTTACAGTCAAGAGCCAGAAAGGAGTGCGCTTAGTGTGGAAGGCATGCAGGGAGCAGGGACGGGCCCGGGCTGGGCCTCTCGGCCAGGGAGAGCCACTGTGAATGCCGGGCCTGGAGCACTGCTGAGGCCCCGGGCTGACGCGGGACAGGAAGAAAGCGGCTCCTGGCTCCCGAGAAGGCGCCGGCTCCCAGCGAAGATGCCCCGAGTGCTGCTGAAAGCGCAGGGGGTTCACAAGAGGACACGGGGTTCACCTGGAAGCCGGCACCGGCTGGAGAGGGTCGAGTTGGGTCCGATGAAGTTCTGTGTGTAAAATGCTACCCAAGAACACTGCACGACACAGAGACACCTCTCGCGGGGAAGTCAGCGGGTCGCGCAGCTCAGCAAACCTCATTGCTGTTTTATTTTACGAGAATGCCGAAGCTTCCTGATCCTCTAGCAAACACCGCCCCATCAGTCCTGGGTCACAAAGGCCGAGGCGAGATTCTCCACCCACACCAGGGCGAGAACTCCATGCAGGCTCCGATAGTGGCCAGCACTTGTTAGCAACACAATGTCTGCAATGCAAGCGTGTAGGCTGCTGCTTGGCCATGTGATTCCCCACTTCATGAAGCACATACAGTGTCTTATGTGCGCTCAGAAACCAAAATAATCGCTGAGGCTCATTTTACTGCACTGTTCCCTTTATTGAGGCCGCCTGGAGCCAAGGCTACCATGTCTCCAGGGTCCACCTGGAGCTGAGAGTAGAGGAGTTAAGGTGGTCCCCAGGGGAGGCAGCCGTCTGGGGTGTTCGAGCACACAGACCCAGGTGTGCGCTGAGCCACACAGCAGATGCTGGACGCCACCTACGCGTGGCAGAGTGAAGCTTTTGCGGTTGAGGGTGCTACTTACTTCCTGATTTCCACACACACGAACTCACTATGGAAGAAAGCAGATGAGTGTGCTCACAGTTATGATTTCCAACTTCAGGACAGCAGCTCAGCACAGGGACAGCTCTGGGTGCTTGGTTCCCGCATGAGCTTACCTGGCTGCTCCAAACTCCCTTTGAACACTGTGATGCGAACTGCCCGTGTGCTCATGCAGCCCCTGCCTTTCCACTTCATTCCACCGGGTTCCTCTTCCTAGTCGGAGCAGCCTCCTTATGCTCTCTGCTCCTGGTCTCATTTCCCAGGGACTGTGCCTCCAAGGGTCTGCTTCTCCTCTCGGCCTTGTCTGTTCCAGGGCTCCTTTTCCTCAGCCTGAAGACACATTCAAACGCCTCTCAGTCTCAGAGCCATCAGGACCCTTGGTCTCCATTCCTTCCCTCCCTCCCTCCGGCCTCCCTCCTGTCTCCTCCGTCCTCTCGAAAGTATAGCTTTAACCAAAGCTTCTCAAACTTCAGAGCTTGCAGGCCACTTGAGGAACCTGTCAAAACCACCTCAGCGATCCAGGGAGGGGCCCAAGGTCTGCTGTCTTGGAGATCACTCTAAGAACCCAAGTGCTGAGCTGCTTTTGCCCCCTCTCCTTTATTCCTGACTCTGTCTTCTGGATTCTCAGCCTCAAGCCCTCAGAACCTTCCATGGCTCCCGAATGACAGCTCCAAGGGACGCTGGCAGCCACATGGGCCCCAGCCAGGGTGGAGTTAGAGGCCCCCGGTTCTTGATGCAACGGACTCAGCCCTCCTGGGCCCATTGGTTTGCACTCTTCTCCCAGCCGTTTTCAGTCTCCTTTCCAATCCTCTTTGCTTGCTTGTTCCCTAGAACTCTCGCGCTCCATCGTTTTCACTACGGCCTGTTTCCTTGCCTTCGCTTCCGAGCAATCACAGATGTAACGATTTGTCCCAGCTGGACGGCGGCCCGGGCCAGGTCCAGGTCCAGGTCCAGGTCCCGGTGGCCTCCGGGGCCCTCGAGCCCCGGGCTCCCACTCCGGCACAGGCCAGCTGTCCGCCGTCCGAGGCGGGTGCAGACTGGCGCCGTCGCCTCAGCTGAGTCCTCCCCCAGCTCCCAGCCCCGCCAGCGTCCGCCAGCGCCCGCCTGGGGCCGCCTGCCTCGCCACAGCTCGCGCGGAGCCCACGCGGACCGGGGACCGGGGACCGAGGGCCGGAGCACACGGACCCCGTGGGGCTCCAGTTCCGGTCACCTTCTTCTCACGCCAGACGGGAGGTTTTCCTTTGATTGAGGGCCTAGTTTACCCGGTCTTTTTTCCAGTGATTCCATATTTTCATAGATCTCAAATTTAAATTTTGTGAAATACATATTTTAAATGAGGTGAAATTGCACAAATGTTATTTTGAATTTTATTTAAATCAAATAATATTGTGATATGAAAAAATCCGCATAGAATCACATTAATTTTATTGAAATAAAAATGTAAAGACAATATTCTAATACCTAATTATTTTATCCTGAAATAATTAAATGCAAAGGATATACATGTTAAATTGCTACACACATGTAGATACTATACAACACATGTAATGAAGTCATCACACATTTCATACTGCTTTATTATAAATAATTGGAAACTAGTTCATTTTTCAAACCCAGATAACAATGCTGAAAATGCAATGTTTTCTTTTTTTTTTTTTTTTCTATTATCTCATTTATACTTTTGTACTATGGGTTGGGAAGTAGTATTCCTTATCCAAAGACTGATAAGAAAAAGAAAGAAAGAATGAAAGAAGAAAACAAAGAAAGAGATTTTATTGTTTGTATTTAAAATTGTTATTGCACAATATAAAAATGAACTGTAGTACTCATGCTAACAATTTAAATTTTTCTTTTCTTTGTATAATTTAAATAGCAAAATAGGAAACTTAAAAATGAAAAGTTAAAAGAAAAGGGCTTTATATTTTAGTATCTTTAATGAGATATTTTTTCTGCTTTTTGAATAAAAGATTCTGTACTTTCATTTAAATGAAAGAAAGTTTAAGATAGTGAAAGAAAAAAATGAAGGAAGAAAGGAAGGAAAGAAGGAGAAAGGAAGAAACAAGGAAAGAAAATCGGTGACACAAAAGAACAGAATACTCATTTTCTTTCACTTAAATGAAAGCAAAGAAGGGTTAAAAATCTTTGGGAGACTTTTGATGGTGCCATCAAGAAGCCACTAGAAACAGAGAACTGTAACACTGGAAATATCGCATCTAAGGCAAAAGAGATTGTGGACACATACAAACATAGAAAGACTTGACAGTAAACTATAGAACTTTTTTTCTTAAAAATGCAAAGAGCTTGATTCTCCCAAATGGGGGGAGCCACTGAAGAATAATGGATGAAGTTATGAAGCCTCAAGTTTGGGTGTTATTACCTTGAAGAAACGTTTTCCTTTTCTAAGGAAGGAGACCTGACATATGCCTCTACTTTCTCATTGTATAATGACTCATGCTCTGATTTTTAAAACGTTCACTACTGTAACCTTGAACACTTACATGCAGAGAGCCCTTCTTCATAAAATGCCATAGAAACTTAGAATTGCCGCAGAAAGCTGGTGCCCTAATTCACTTACAGTAGATTGTCCCATGGGATACTCCCTTAGGAGAGTTACAGCAGCTGGCAGTCAGAATTTTATTAGGCAACTGATCATGATTTTTGTGATTAACTTTTACATATAATGTTGAGAGTTGTACCAATTTTCCCCATTGATATTAATGTAAAAAATAGAATCTAAAGAAACAGCCGGAAGGAGAGGAACATGAAGAGTAATGTATTTAACCAAGCAATACAGGAAACTTCTTGGAACACTTGTGTGTGTGCCTCCATCAAGGACTACAGACTGAGCGGGGGTACCAACATACTATGTGCAGTGGTATTCTATTTGTGCAAGCTCCAGGATGTAGCTTTTGTAGGAACCGGAACAGAGTGAAGCTGATAAGCGTGTTTTATGCAGTTAACTGCAAAAAATAAATTCACACAGACTAACAGGGTGAAGAACTGATGATGTAAGAACACATTTAAGGTAGTGAAGCCACACATCTGAATCCACATGCAAGAGATACTGTGAAATCATCCGCTCAGTTCACTTGGTTTTGCTTCAACTTAAAATACTCCAAATACTGCTTGCCTGTATAATAGCAAAGGAAATACTAAATGTATGTATACTACTTTAAGAGCTTGATGGTATATTTCACATTCTTTAAACTTTATTCAGGCTATAAATATATCTGCATATCAGTAAGTTTTTAAAGTAAATGGAAATTGTAGCGCAGGAGAGTAATTTTAATTTTCCACATGTGCTGTCCGTACACAATCCTGCCCATCTCCTCCTGAAAACTGCTTTTTGAGAAGGTCGCAGAGCAATGGCGCGTGCTCTGCGCCCACCACTGCTCTCCACACTGCAGTTTATTGTGGCTCACAGTGGAATTTACATTTGAAGATGGGTTAACTAAAATCAACTCAGCAGAACGACACTGAGACTTGGCTTCTGAAATCCACCAACATTTAACAATGCAGAAGACGATGGTACTCTTTTTGAACCTTTTTTATCAAAAGTGTACAATAGTAGAAACTTATCTGTTAGTAGGTTTGCACAGCGATAACACTGTTTCGCTGATGCAGTACATCCTGTTTCCAGTCTTCGCGTCTACCCTTTCTTTCTCTGATTTTCCATGAAATAAGCCGCGCTCCTCACCTGCGCTTGCAGTTCTGCGGTACAATCCAGGAGGAGTGTGAGCACAGCCCGCAGTCCCTCCCCTTCTTAAGCTGTGACAGGGAGTGGCACAGAGTGGCCAGAAGAGCCATCTGAGCTCAGGGGCCCCAAGGCACAGCCAAGGACCTTCGGGACGTCCACTTGTGACCGGCAGGAGTCAGTGTTGCTGGTGTGACGCTTTCATCCCTCTAGCACCCGGCGGCTCCCCAGGCTCTGCTGCTTTGATTCCTGCACACTATGCCTTCAGAAGTCCAGAGGCCGAATCATCATGGTGGTGGAGCGTAGGGAGTAGCTAGGCCCCTTGAAGTAGTGCCACTTGATTCCGTTCAGCTTCCCGTGGTTCTGCCCTGCAGCGTAGAACATCCCATTCAGATTGGAGGGGCCGCAGGCGTCAAACCACCAGCCTGAAAAATAGTCAGAAGTGAGAGAGAAACGTTTACAAGTGCACTGCACATCCGGGAACACTGGCATGAGCTTCAAGGAACCTGTGCACCCTTCCTGTGATTACTGCAAAAAGGAGACATCCAGTGACATTTTCCCACTAGCCAGAGTGTTCCAAGGGACACTGGTGTGGGGTGAATAGAGCCAGGAAAGAGAGACGAGCTCATGAAAACCAGCTCTCAGTGTGGCTCTCCTGGGACCTGCTTCCCACGGCGACGGTGGGAAGCCTCTGGCTTAAGATACAATCCAGGTAGGGCTGGGTTAAATGCAGGAGAAGGAAACTGCGGATTCCCATGAGCGCCCTTCCACCCCCCTCCCGCCACGGAGCGCAGAACAACTGTCAGCGAAGAGGTTCAGAGGCGCAGACAGCTGACGTCTAAGGAGAAGACAGTCTCCATTTACTCTGTGAATTTTTCAAGAACTGGCCCCACACTGCTTCTAAAATTAATTAGAGAACGTGTAATGACTGTGACACTTAAGTTGAATCTTAATTAATCTGCCTGTCTACAGCTTACGGCAACATTGGAAGCGCCTGCCGTGTCAGCCATAGAGCACACAGACAGCAATATTTTGTCTTTGAGCTTTCAGGCTCCTTCTAAACTTAGTGGGAAAAAAAGCTGAAAAGGAGCATGGAAATCCTGTGCTTGCATAACTCCATAAGGATAACTGGATTACTCAGTTTTCTTTTTTTAACAAATTAAGGTTTTAGATTTTTAGATAAAGCACAGTACTTTTCTCCCTCTCCTGAAGTAACACCACTGAAATCTTTAGGGAGAGGTTTATGCCAGAGACATTCTGGAATATTTGTATTTGGATACAGTTGACCTCTCTTTGATTACAGAGCTGTACCGTGGGGACTAATAGCTAAAGAGAGAGCTGCGTGGCTGATGTTGGACTGTAACATGAGCATAATCTTGCAGACTTGAGAAAGGGTGAAATGAAGAAACGCGAATGTTCCTTTTTCAACCTTGGAGGAGGAATGCAGCTGTGTTGTGTTTACAGTCACTCTAGGGGCACAACAAGCAGCATTCGCCCCAGTTCACATTTACATGGGGCAGCAGGAGGGTACTCACCGTACTGAACACTACAGGAAACATGAATGCTAATGCAGCCCAAACAGGAGGGACAAGGGGTCTCGCTAGGCAAGGAAGGAGAAACTGTAAAATTCTGTCTTTCCTTTCTTGAGAGTAATTCCTTGAGTTTCAGTCAGTACTCCAAGCAAAAATGTGCTATTTATGTTATAAAAGGCACTGACATTAGGGAACTCACTTTCCCAGAAGACTCCCGGAGGGCCTAGCACGAAACTCTACAGCGAAATTGAACACAACTGATTCTGGGTCTATCTTCTCTGTCCTCAGGGCACTGCCTGGGCACACAGAGGCATCTGTCACAGTCATGCGGCTCCGACTCTGTCCACCAGACTCACAAAGAGGCCGGCCTGAGCCTGAGTCTTGGAGCTGCACAAGGGTGCTCAGGGTGAAAATGAAAAAGCAGAAACAGTCCTGCAAGGAAGGGAGCAGGTGCAGGACACGCACAGTGAGGTAGGGATGGCTTGGGAGGGCAGAGGGGAAGAGCGGAGCCAGCGGGCAGACCAGGAGCACCGACCTGGGAAGGAACGGGGGAGATGGCTGTGGTGAGGATGGCCTTTTAGAGCCCCGAAAGAAGGCCAGAGGCTGGGTCTCTGTCAGCAAGACAGACAGTTGCTGGGGGCTGAGCGTGTGCGAACACTGCACGGCCCACGCTTTCGCTTGCTGCCCCACATTCACTGGAAAGACACGGAGCTGTAGGAGCCCGTCTTGCAGACTGAGTTCTGACCTAGCTGAGTTTGCTTGGCAGAGCGCTGGCTCATGGATGGGGTCTCTGAGTAGACTGTTCTCGCGAAGTTGTTCAGCTTATTAAAAGCTACATTGACAGAGACCCAACTTACAGCATTTGCACCTATTCTGCTTATGTACTCATCCAGAGGTTGCTACCCAGTGCTCAGGGTGGTGGATGTGGTCCCTGCCCTCACAGAAATGACTTCTGATGTGAGAAGAGATGAGAAATGTGTGCAAGTAAACAAAATAACTACAAACCATGACCAAAGAATGCTAGGAAGAAGATATGGAGCCCTGAAGGAGAATAATGTAAGTTTTTGCATTCATAGGAGAGGTCGATGTTCAAGGTGACCTGAAGGAGACAGGGAGGCAGCCAGGGGAGGTGGCAGCAGGAGCTCTGCTGAGCAGGGAGGGAGGAAGATGGCTGCACAGGTGGAGGCGGGAGGATCTCACTGATGTTGGTGAGTGTGGACAGGGCAACTTCACAGGAAGGCCAAGAAATAGTCTGCATGGGAAGTTGCACAAGGTTTGTGGGAAAATGCATGGCCTAGCTATCTCATGGGTCTATCATCAGCTGCACAAGGATAACATTCTCCAGTAATGGGAGCCAATATCTAACCAGGGAAACCAGGTCTGCTGGGCCAAATGTTGAATCAGTCATCACTGGAGCCCTCATTCTATATGGCTTGCCAAAGCCAGCCTGAGCACATGGGCCTGCAACAAAGGGGCGAAAACCAAGCTTGAAATCACTGCAGCACCCATTACTCAATGGACAGACTTGGGGACAGAGTTGAGTAAGACAAAATTGCTAATGTCAAGTCACACACACTTTTGTATAGGAGACAAATTATTAAAAAGCACATGATAAACATTAAACAAAGAGCTAAAGAAAAGAAGATGGCAATAAACAGCAGAAGCCCCCAACTTCCTGAGAGCTGTAGGATTCTTTGTCACCTAAGTGGGGTCCTGAGGATGGGTACAAGTCCAAACAAGAAGTTTCTAACTCAGTACAGTCCCTCAAAGGGCAGGAGAGAGGGTCTGCCGACAGCCTCGCTTCACTGAGGTACCATGGGGAAAGGTATAGAAGAATAAGCAGGAGGGAGAACACAGAAGTTTTCGTGATACTTGTAGAAATGTTCTTGTGAGAGATGAGGGTCCTGGAGAGAATTGGGCTAGAGGTTAAAAGACCTCATCTGTGACACTGACTTCATTGACCAGGGGATCCTAGACAATAATACCAGGTGTATTTGATAGTCAGCATGTACCCAAGACTGTGTGAAACTATCTATATTCATCCATCCATCCACCCACACATCCATCCATCCGTCTGTACACCCACCAATCCTCCCATCCATCCATCCATCCATCCGTCTATCATCCATCCGTCCATATACCCACTGATCCACCCATCTATTCATCCATCCATCCACCCATCTATTAGCCATCCATCCATCCATCCATCCACCTATCCACCCATTCATCCATCCACTCACTGACCCACTCACCCACCCATCCATCCACCTACGTATCTCTCTTTCATTTTAGCCCCCAAATGGCCACATATAATATGGTACCATAATAAGGACACCACTGCTCAGAGTTGAAGGCACTTTCCCAAGGTTACATTCACCACACGCGGGTTATAGGGTTTGACCATCCATTTCCAGACTTTAAAACAGCAGTTTTAAGGATAAAATAAGATATACACTGAGTTCTTTCACCTGTAAAATTGTATCTACATTCTTGGTGTAATTTAGGACATGGGGTCAAGAATTTTAGGGCAGAAAGAAAGAGGACTAGCTCTTTTGTCCCACTGTAATGATTTAATAATGAAGACAAGTACACAGGGCTACCGTAGTTTCTTAATTGCTCAGTCAGGTCTATCGGAGAAATATGAAAGTAATTGTAATGCAAATGAGATTAGCTTATAAAGATTACATTGTAAAAACACTGTATTTAAGAACCTAATATGATTTTTTTAGCGTACTATTTTGATGATATGAGGAATCAAAATGTTCAGTTATTTCTTTAAGACCAGGGGGCTATGCACACTGTGATCAGAGAGGAATTGATGCTGATAAAAAGGAATTAAGATGCTGGACAATGAAATAAAAGGGTAATATTTCTCACACCAGTCTCAGTTCCATTATATCATATTCTAAACTTCAGGGTAGCCCAGGCAGTGATTTCTGTGCAGGTGAGTATTCTGTTTTTACCAAGATTTGCATGAAAACAAACTAAACAAAGGAATTTCTTTGCATCAAGTATTTCAAGTAGTTTTTCTCCTTTCTGTGAAAACAATGAGGCATCAACTGGGCTTTTCAGCCTGAGTTCTGGGGCGGTGTGCTGCGGCCTCTTCCTGCAGGCAGGCATGGTTGGGTGGACCCGGCTGCTGTGCCCCAGGGCCTCGGTGGGCCTGGCGTGGAGCGCTTGTCCTGGTGTGGCTGAATCACACACACTCGGTTCCGGGACACCTGCTTGGGCCCCTCTGTGTGCCCAGGAACAGTGAGGATGGGCCCGGCCCCTGAACTGGGGAACACTCACTGGCGGCACAGGGCAGGCGGCTGAGAAGCATCTGCCTGCGCTTTGGCGAGCGCTGAGCTGGACTTCACCAGGCATTTTTCCTTATAACCTACAACCTCGGGGATGTTTGAATAAGAAATCCGAGATGTGTGTTTCTAATTCATTTATACTCTACTCATTAAAATTTACTTTTGTCATAACTATCCCAGGCTTCCCAGGCCTTTAAATTATTTGAGTCTTTTATCTCTGAAGCAGAAAATTCACATTTTATCACTAATAAGTTAAACTCTGCCCAGAAAATAGGAATCTGATTCTGAAGCCTGTGCTCAGGAAGTTCAAATTTATTTGAGTCAGGAAACCCAACTCTCATGAAGTCCTCTGATCCTAAACAAAATATCTCTCCACACTTCTTTTCTAAGATAGAAAGCACAGCAAAAGGAAAAGAAATGTCTTTTGGTGGATTTCTTCTATGCATTTTCAGTGACGCACTCAAAGCAGAAATACGCAATGGCGTGCATGGAAACTGACTTCACCCTTTTATGTCTGCCGAGGGGCTGGGCTGTGTGGGTCAGCGGCATCGACGGCTGAGACCATGATGCCAGTCACTCAGCGGGCTCACGTGT